CCTGCAGGCTGCAGCTCTCCTGGCTCTCTGCCGTCTGGTTTGGATCCTGATTCCCGCCAAGGAGCACCTCACGTCATCTGGACTGGACCTCAGGACCCCCTTCAGTCACCTCACGGCCACACCTCCCATGTCGCGCTGTGCTGCTGCCAGCTGGGTAATGCTGCAGTCCTATGGGCGGCGGCAGCTCTCCGGCACCTCAGTCCCATGAAGATCGCCGCGGGCAGCGTGAGAAAGCTGCCAGCGGGCAGGGCCAGATCTAATGATAATTATCATCAGGAGGGCCAGAGATAATTCCGTCACGGGCCAGTTCTGGCCCGCGTGCCTTGAGTTTGACACGTATGGCTTAAAGTGACATTAAGCCTTTAACTGTTTTTTATTCATGCAAATGGTAGGCGCACGTTGAAAGCATATCCTATGTTTTGTTTTTTTAAATGGCCGCTACAACGCTCTCCCCGTACACCCGCTGCACTGGTACCTCCATCAGGTAAGCAGGTGCTGTGGAGTCACCCGTGCGTGTGTGTGTGTTAACAGCCATGCCCGCAGTAGCTGTGTGCATCCATAGATACACACAGCCCTGTGGCAGGCCACGCCCCTCCTGTCCACCAAACAGGTTGATTGATGGCAGAAGGAGCCCATACTTTAACCCCTTCATGACTGAGCTTGTTTTTCGTTTCTGTACGCAAATGACTGAAGCACTTTTTACATTTTTGCTGTGCGATTCTTACACGTCAGTAATATACTTTCTTACAAAGTGCACCCACACATATTACATATTGTTTTTTAGAGGACAGATAGGGCTATATATGTGTACCTAACGCCTCACATAAGACATTATAGAACAAATAAAATATTTTAAAAAAAAAGGAAAAAACTTAAATAAAACACTTTTTCCCCAGTTTTGATTTGTAGTATGTTTTACAAAAACAACACAGCTGAAAAAAAGCATTAAATACATTCATTTATTTGTCCTTTATTTGGAAAAACCTCACATTCCTAGGATTTTAGATTTTTTTCTGTACTTCTCAGCCTAAAACTAAGACCTAACGTTTGAATCTTTTTTTCAAGAGACCCACAACTCCCAAAGCTCAGATCCACCTGATTACATGTGAGTACAATCATCTCACCCATTCTTCACCCCTCCACTCTACCATCTTTTATCTGCGCTAGGTCGTTGTGCTTCTTCCTCCTTTTTGTTTCCTCTTTAGCACATCATGACCCACCTCCCGGCTTCCTCATTAACTAGGAAGCCGGCTTCACTTGTTTCTAGGCAGCGTGGCTTCCTGACCAATCAGGAAGCCGGGACGCGAGCCATGACGTTCTGCCTGGCTTCCTAATTGGTTAGGAAGCCAGGCGGCCTACCGATAAGTGAAGCCGGCTTCCTAGCCAATCAGGAAGCCAGGCGGCATGTCATGATCCGCCTGCCTGATTGGCTAGGAAGCCGGCTTCACTGGTTCCTAGTAGGGATGCACCCTAAATTTCGCAAATTGCCATGGCGGCCGAAAATTCAGTGTGCCTTCTGATGCAGCACTGGTGCCCAGTGGGGAGGAGAGAAGCTTTCTGGCTAGTTCACACCAGAACTGTGTGCGTCTGCGCAGTTGCAATATGTTTTGCCACGATTGATGCTTTGCTTTTTTTTAAAACTTAAAAATGGGATTTCAGGTGCATTCCAGTGCGTTTGCATGCACTTTTGATGCGTTCCGTTGCAATCTGACACATCCAATAGGGTAAGCAGTATTTTTTCTGACTGCATCAGAACGGACTGCACTGGTGTGAATAGAGCACGAGAAAGCCCATAGGAAAGCATTGTGATCTATTTTAGCTGCAGCAGCTAACCTGAATGGACTGCATCTGGTGTGAACTAGCCCTTCAGGATGGAGAGTGGCGCTGCGAGGTGACAGCTGTCATCGTTGCAGGAAGTCGAGCTTTCCTCCCTCACCTCCCCGTTTGGCCTCCTGTGTCAGGATGGAGAGCGGAGATTAGAGGAGAGTGCTCTGCTCTGCCACAGGACACAGAGCTCTCCTCCCTCACTGTGACAGCCAATTCCAGATGGAGAGCGGGTATACAACCACTCACCAATCAGCTGATCGGTGAGTGTTTGTAAATAACTGGACATAGTGTGCATACTGTATACCAGTTATGAATTAATGGGAAGTGATCTATATCACTTCCCATTCATTCACGATTGTGGTCATAGTAAGCACACAATATCCACAAGTTATGAATGAACTGGGGGCTGCAGAAAGAGATTGAGGACTCTGTGTCTTCAATCTCTTTTTGTGTTTTAAAAAGGAAAATATCAGGGGTATGTTTAGACCTGATGTTTCCCTAAAGCCCCCGACTGTAAAGAAAAAAAAAGAAAAAATTACATTTTTAAAAGATTGGAAAAAATAAATCATTTTTGGTTTCGGCCTGACACATTTTTTATTTTCGGTTCCGCTCTTAAAGTTCCATTTCGGTGCATCCCTAGGCAGCCTGGCTTCCTAACCAATCAGGAAGCTGGGAGGCACATAATGACCCACCTCCCTGATTGGTTAGGAAGCCAGGCTGCTTAGCCAACCAGGAACCCACCGCCTGACTCCCCGTTTGGAAAGGAAACCGGCTCCATGTTCCCTCATCACTGGAAGTTCTGGTATCAGAGGTAAGTATCGGAGCATTTGGGCACGTCCGCACTCAAATACTTATACGGCACTGATAACGATACTATTATCAGTATTGGTGCATCCCTCATTTATATTTATTAGGGATGCACCGATACCATTATTTCCAGATCAAGTACCGATACTTGTCCAAGTACACACAGATACAATTACTGATACATTTTTGTTTAGTGTCGTGTGACAGTTTTTTCTAAAACAATACAGACTAATGATTTCAGGACAGTGGTGGAGCGCCAGAGTCCTGTCACAGCTGCAACCCTGGTAGTTCTCATGAACATGCTAAGTATCAGCACTGGTATCTGAACATCCTAAGAACTAGTATTTACATCAAGTGTTAAAGAGGTTTTGGATACCTGCAGTTAGAAGATGCTGCAAGTATGCTTGGTGTTGCAATAAAGCAGCAGAGGATTATCTGGAAGCTGGTGTGCTTGAGGACGTATTCTTGACAGTGTGGACTGGAGTTTAGCAATGTAGAACTGGATGTCCGTGTGGTACACTAATGAAAGATTAACCTTGGTGGTGGTGTACGGCAACCGCACATATCCCAGGATGCAGAGGGGATCAGTGGATGATTCCCGCTTTATTCCAGGATGGCAAGGGTTAACAGTGTTGCCAGGATGGAGAGTGGTGGTTCAGGATTGTTAGGAATCACCAGGATGGCAAGGGTTAACAGTGTTGCCAGGATGGAGAGTGGTGGTGGGTTGAGGAGAGATTACTTAGGATGGAGAGCAGTAGTAAAGATCAGCGGTTTGCCGGGCGTCAGCAGATGGCTCGATCGCCAGGCAATTCAAACTCCCCAGCTTTAGGCTGGCTGGTGAGGAGGAGCTGTGTGACTTCACGGGAGTGGACAAGTGAGGAGGCAGCGCTGAGCTCCTATTCGGGAACGAGGGCGCGTATCTTACATCTTGCATTTTTCAATAATAAATTACAGTAGCAATCTTGCCTCAATTTTATCTAGGTCCTGTTGAAGTGAATTTATGTCTTGTTGAGAAATTACTGCTGTACACAGTTCAGTAACATCCGCAAACACCGGAGTTTGAACTATTTATTCCAAGCTCGATGTTTATGAATAGCATAAACAGGATCAGTACCAAGACCGAACCCTAAGGCACCCCACTCACGACTTTTGCCCAATCAGAAGATTAACCATTTATTACTACCCCCTGGATCCATTTGTGCAGCCAGTTTTCCAGCCATATACATACAATTTCATCCAAACAGATAGACCTTAGTATGTGAAGTGTTTGTGTGGTACTGTATCAAAAACGCTTTAGCAAAGTCAAGATACATCACATTCGCTTTCCCCCAATCAGCTGGTACCATACCTGATGTTATGCTGAATACTGAAAAATGGCCTGGATGGGAAGGGGGTTTAACACCGCGGATGTCAACTGGTTAAAGATTAGGAACAGTGGTCTGGCTACAACCTGGCCAGGTTCCTTAGAGTACCCGCGGATGTACTCTGATCACTGACAGCCACTGAGATTTGTCGAATCTTTTGTTACTAGAACTGGTGCCTTGTTTATTAGCCCCATCTGACTCTTCTGTAACGATAGAAGCAAAGAATCAGCTTTCTCCATGCCACTGGTAGCCAACTTTCCCTTTTATGGAGCCTAAGGCCTCATTCACACTGCTAAGAGCCAGCCTGTACAGAGATGTGCAGGTCAGGTGAGCGTACAACGGCAAACTCCCATAGAAAAGAACAGGCTGCTGCTTACAATCACACGCAGCACCTGTCCTTCCCGGGAGGGGCCCGATAGGCCGTGCACGCCGCACGGATTTGTACGGGCTGGCTCTCAGCAGTGTGAATAAGGCATAAATGTTCTGTCCTTAACATGTATATTGTTAATAGGCTCAGTCTCTATTAAACCATGGCCAATATTTAGTGTGATTTAACCACAGACTTTTTACCATGGCACACCAGATTTGCTGCAGGCCCATACCTGCCTCTTTGTAATGTTCTAATTGGCAGCTCCCACATAAAGATTTTCCTGGGTTCCCACAGATGTCAGTAAACACTTTTACAACGTTACCTTATCAACACCATTACAATAAAACGTTATACGAAAGATTTTCTTCTCACAGTTCACTCAGCAATAAGAAACTATGAAGCAAAGCACCTGAACTCCATTTGAAAGCGGCTCTTCTGGTAACTACATATGTGCACATCGTTAACATTCAAAGAAATCCTTATAAACCCCAATTATTGTGCTAGTATTCCCTATAAACCGTCTCAGCACCCACTCCCACATCGCCCGCAGCAACCCGTTTGTCATGCAAGGCTTGCTTTGAACTCCCGCGCTGACGTCATTTCCGCCTCTACCAATATGGCGGAGTATTCGCCCGTGACGTCTCATTTATGGGACAGTCGGCTGGCTGCGTCACTAGCGGTTGCCATGGAAATTTGTCAGATTTGACAGGAGGCTTCGAGACTGGGTGTCGATAAGCCATCGATAGGAGGAGGTGATCGCTGTATGTATTTATGTACGTAGTGACATGCTTATAGGAGATTCGGACTGATTGTGTGTGTGGAGGTATCACCTGCACCTTATGCCTCATTGTCAGCCCCTATTGTTCTACATACCTGGCCATTTCTAGACATAGATCTGTGCTGCCTGAGCATTTGATCCAGAAGCAAACTTCTCTCCAACATCAGTTTAGTTTGGCAGTATACAAAAAACAAAACAAATGAAGGGATAGACACGATGACCTGCTGTCAGAGTCACACGAATCCTATCATGGCTTCATTGGATTGTACAGATGTATTTGCTTTAGAAAAATGCACCTTTAATCTAAATAGGCCGAGATCATGTAAATAGATCTAAACAGAACATTCCATGGACATGGATTTTATTGTCAAATGTACTACCGGTATTTCTGGGACATTTCTTGAGACAAAATGCCTGCTGACAGATCTCCATATATGTGAAGAAGAAATACTATGGGCCATATTTATGTTATTCACACTACCCGCATATCAAAATCAAATTGTAAGGTCAGGTAAAATACCATTGTTTCTAACAGTGCCAATTTACACCCTGTGTTAGTGTACCCTGTGCCCCCTCCCAAAAAAAGGCAGGCTGCATTTTATTTAGTATGGCGGACACCCTGCAGCACCCTATAGAAAGAAAGGAGTCCAGACAGGAAAATGTTGATACTAGTCCACAGGCCCTTCAGCACTGGAGGTGCTTTGATAGGGGAAACCTCCCAAAGTTACTCCCAGTGTTAGCCAACACTGATGGGCTCCAGGCTCCTCAGCACCCCCAGTCCCCCGGAGATGGTGTTAGCAATGGGGACTTATGTGTCACCTACCTTTTGCTAATGGGGGTCAAGTACATGGATGTCCATTATCTGGTCATGTGATCCTTTGGACCTCTTACCAGTTAACCTTTTGTTAAAAAACAGTAAAAAAAAAAAAAGTATTCTTAATTTCACGAATATTTACCACCTCCCAGTATCCAGCAATGTGCTAGTCTGTCTCCCCAGTTGTTCAGATCCTCCCTACTCAATCTTCAGATGAGAATAAAGAGGAATCATGCCTCTAAGTCAGTCCTACAGTTGGTGAGAACTCTGGGGAGATGTCTTCCTAGAGATCTTTGTGATACCAATTATTGTAAATTCTAGGGATGAATCATTACCATTTTTTACAGACTGAGTATGAGTACTGATACTTTTCCTAAAGCACTCCTCACAAATACCAATACTTATTTTTTAGTATCATGTTACAGTTTTTCTAAAACAATGCAGACTAATGATTTTAGGATAGTGGTGGAGCACCAGGGCCCAGTCACAGCTGCGACTCTGGTAGTTCTACCGCTGACTCCAAGCTGTAGAGGGACTACAATTCTCAGCAATACATTTTATAGCAATGCAGAATCCCATCAGCTCTAGAGGAGTACAAATCTCAGCAATACATTATATGGCAATGCAGAATACCACCAGCTATAGAGGACTACAAATCCTAGCACTACATTATACAGCAATGCAAAATAATACCATCAGCTATAGAGGACTACAAATCCCAGCAGAACATGATACAGTAATGAGGAATAATAGTATTATTCTGCATTGCTGTATACTCTATTGCTGGGATTTGTATTCCCCTATAGTTCATGGTATTATTAAAATACCATCAGTTATTAGAGGAGTACAATTCCCAGCAATAGAGTATACAGCAATGCAGAATACCACCATCAGCTATAGCTGACTACAAATCTCAGCAATAGAATATACAGCAATGCAGGGTCTCATGAGGGGGAGAAATGCGGGCCGTCGGAAGCGCTGTAAATGGGCACCACTTGGTTCCCAAGAAGGCTGCTGCGAGGTTCCCTGTGCCTGTATCAGTTTTTGTTATTGGGGCATTTTCATGAGTGCTTGTGAAAATGCCCTGTATCAGCACCGATAATGATACTGGTATCGGTATCAGTGCATCCCTAGTGAATTCATAATTGGCTTTATTCCAATTATGGCCAGTAATATAACCATTTGGACTAAGTTCAATAGCCATTCATACACAAATATACAAGGTAATGTATCAATATTTTTCATTTGCAGCTTACTCGCTCATCACTAAATTAGTAAAGGGGTCCTTAGGACCACTTATAAGTTAGTAAAATGCTCCAGACATCCAGCAGAGGGGGACGTCCCTTACTCTCATTCTGTGGCTTCACTGAGGTACAGAGAAAAGGCTTTGCTGTTGTGGAAACTAATAAGGCTTCATTGCACCCCTTTTGCACTAGGAGATAAGAGGCCTCAAATTTTGAGGATCATTGGCAGGACAATTCCTTCAGGATTTGCTTTTCAAAGAACTCCTCCTGTCGTAATATTCTTTCTAATGTATTCCTTATAATACACAGAGCCACTGGTCTCTGCCAGGTCTACGTGACCCGACAAGAGACCCATGTTGTGTCTGCGCATGCACAGTATCTCTTTTCAGAAGAGAACTTTAGTTGTAAGGAAGAAAATGCATAATTCCATGGACTGGTAAGCATTTTCAAAGTGTGACAGTAAGGCTGGGTTCACACCATTTTCCGGACCAGATCTGGAACATAGTGCATTGCGGTTTTGCTGTGATTGTGATGCATTCCAGTGCATTTTCCGGACCAGATCTGATCTGGAAAATGGTGTGAACCTGCCTGCAGTTCCAGTGCATTCCAGACCAGACAAAATGAGACCTGCAGTGTTTTTGTGGTCTGGAACGGACTGGGCTGGTGTGAACAGAGGCCAGAAATAGCATAGGGATACATTAGGATGCATTTTGGGCCTGGAAACAATCTGGTCTGGTCTGGGGATGAACTGGATGTGGTGTGAATGGGCCCTTAGGGATGTAAAGTTTAATTTTAGGTAGGTTGAGCGAAGCTCCTTTTTAATTTGCCTTTTTTGACTCGAGTATAAGCCGAGGGGGGCACTTTTCACCCAAAAAAATGGGCTGAAAATCTCGGCTTATACTCGAGTATATACGGTATACATTATTTTTTAACAGTACATAATGAAGTATACAGTGATGTTTGAGATTGCAACCTAGTAAACATATACAGTAAACTCTCTGTTATGCAGAATTCAACTAGCCAGAACTCTCATCTAACCAGAAAAAAAAAATCCTGTGTATTACATAGTTACATAGTATTTGGTGTTGAATAAAGAAATACGTCCATCAAGTCCAAACCATATAGGTCCACGCATCATCTCATTCTTAGGGATACTGGTATCCCTGGATATTACGGTCCCTCAAGAAATTGTCCAAACGTTTCTTGAACAAATCTATACTCTTGCTGAAATTACTGCCGATGGCAGTGAGTTCCAGACCTTAACCGCTCTTACTGTAAAGAACCCTCTTCGCCCATTGTGCTGGAATTTTTTCTCCACCAACTTTAGGTGAAAGGTCACTGTTGTGCGGCAAGTATTATTCAGGAAACGATCTTGTGCCTATTTGTCTTCATTTGTTTTAAGTGTGTCATTTGTGTAGAGTGTTTTTGATTACTGCATTTCAATATTAATATGAAGTCAATACAGAGTTTAAGTTATGGTATAGTATGGGGTATGGCTTTAGTTAGATCTATTTTTAATAGTAACTCTCAAGCAACCAGAAACTACATTTATCCGGAATCTACCAATGCTCGTGGATGCCAGATAACGGGGAGTTTACTGTACTTTGATAGTCACAAGGATCTTTTTTTTGTCAGTTTTGTAGATACTAAACCGAAACTCAAAAAAAGTTTACAGATTACGGTATAAAGATAAATGAAATGTATAAATATAAAGTAAGCTTGACATGAGTCACATAATTGTCATTTGTAATGCTTTGTGATTTGCTAGAACAGTCTAGAAAGCAGATACAAGCTTCCCATGCTTTTTCAGAGCAGACACCTGACCATATGTGCCAGAAATCACATGCATTCTTTTGACCATTTAGTTACAGAATTGAGTTACATTTATATTGAATTAGTGTGGTCTAGAAAGGCACATTTGTGTAGAGTGCTTTCATAGACTGTCCTGTGAGTTCCTGGAAAAGTCCATGCTTTATATCAAGTTATACAGTGCATTATTCAAAGCATTTTAATCTGCATTTGGCACCCCACAATATAGTGCAACGTATCCAGTTTTCTCATTTTGATGGAGGTGAGTACATGTACAGCTTCAGATATTTCTAGTGTTAGTCATTAATGTTCAGTTACTTAAAGTGACACCAAAAACAGGAGTTAAAGGAGAACTATGAGGTGAGTGATTTTCACTCAGCCTCATAGTTCTAGCCGACGTGTGACAATGAGGCTGTCACAGGTCGGCTCAATAGATCGGGAGGTGAGCGCACACATACCGTCGCTCGCTCACTTCTCAATCATGTCCCTGCAGAGAGCCGTGACAGTCACCGCTCCCTGCAGGGATTCCCCCCTCCCCGTTCCAATCCTCCAGTGCTGACTGGCGGAACGGACGGGGGAGGGGGCGGGTACAGCTGACTCTGCCTCTAGATAGGCAGAGCCAGCTGTCAATCACGCAGCTGGGTGGATCTTGACAGTAATGTCGGGATCTGTCCCGGCTGCGGCGGTCTTAGTATACCACGAGCTGTAGCTCCTAATATTGAGCTTTGGGTCACGGTAGGACGCTAGTTTATGTCCTCCCGTGACCCTTAGGAGAACTATGGGGAAAAACACTTACCCCATAGTTCTCCTTTAAATACATTCACGTACCTAAACTATTAACAAAAATGTATCTTATTCATGTATCACTCGGCTGTAGATCCTCCAATCATCTCTGAATTGGTGCTGACGCTGTCCTTCCTTCTGGAGGGTAGTTACTTTTTGTTCCCCATGGTCCCTGTGTGTGTTGTAAAGCTCACTCCTGTGATGGAAAACAATGCCAATACAAATTATTAAACTAAATGTGAGATTGTTGTCCATCACAGGAGTGAGCTTGGAGCGGTGACAACTTTACAACACACACAGGGACCACGGGGAACAAAAGTAGCCACCCTCCAGAAGGAAGGACAGCGTCAGCACCAATTCAGAGATGATTGGAGGATCTACAGCCGAGTGATACATGAATAAGATACATTTTTGTTAATAGTTCAGGTACTTGAATGCATTTTTAAGATTTAACTCCTGAGTTTAGTGTCACTTTAACCCTTCCTATATATGTTTTAAATGACAGGTCTTTTTATTGGGATCAGCAACTACCAAGATCTTGGCGCAGAAGAATAGATGGCTGTGTTGATAGTTCAGGCGCCTGATAAGGTCATTGTTAAATCAAGGGTTAGGGGTTTAAAACGGGGTGGACAAATTACAACCCCAATTCACAAAAAGTTGGGACAATGTGTAAAATCTACATAAAAACAGAAGGCAATGATTTGCACATCTCATAAACCCAAATTTTATTCAGAACAGAAAATAGAAAACATATCAAACGTTTAAACTGAGAACAGTTTTTGAGACGTGTTGCAGGCATCAATTTCAAACGGACCTTTTTTTGTTAAAATGGTCCATTTTCTCAGTTTAAACATTGGATATGTTTTCTATTTTCTGTTTTGAATAAAATATGAGTTTATGAGATTTGGAAATCATTGCATTCTGTTGTGTAGATTTTAAACAGCGTCCCAACTTTGTTGGAATTGGGGTTGTAATATGGATATTTTTTTCAAAAACCTCAAAAGTTAGGAACTAGCTGTCATTTTGGGGGAGCGTTGGCTACTTGGTTCCTGGGATTTGTCCAGCCCTGGAAGATTAAGGGGGTTATTCACAAAAGGGTGAAGAGTTTGGAGAAGACAGGAGAAGAGAACAATATAGGCCAACATAGCTGATTTGGAAAAATTCTCCAATTCTGCTCACTTTCCAGTTCAGCTATATTGTCCTAGATTGATCACTTCTCGTGCGTTCTCCAAACTCTTCACCCTTTAGTGAATAACCCCCCAAGTCACAGGGCAGGGGTGGGCAATTTCGGCCTTCCTGCTGTTGTCCAACTGACAGTTACAGGCATGATTCCCAGAGGCATGTTAGGATTTGTAGTTAAAGCATAGCTGGAGGGCCGTATTTGCCCACTCCTGTGATAGGGCGTTTGGGAGATTAATTGATAGGGTGCATGTGGTTAGGGTTGCTTTCAGTAGGTTAGATTAAAGTAGATCTAATTCCTATCATTAAAATCTAATGGAAGCTTTAACATGTTAAGGACATTTTAACACACATTGCGCAGGCATTGTCCACCATTGTCACCATCAGAAAATTGATCCAGAGTATGTATGTGTAACTTGAACGGACCAAGTGAAGAAAGAAACAGGCTGGATGGGATCAGTAGCAATGAAAGGAAAAAAAAGATGGAAAAAGCTGAAAACAGTATTTCATGGGGGGAAAAAAAGCATGGCAATTGTTGTTGCTACACAGTGCTTTAGTAAACTTAGTGCCACCCAGTTCGGGATTAGATTTCCTTTAAAAGTGTTATTAATCCCAAATGACAAAACATATTCTCTTGTAACCACCTTTGTATTTACTGTATTCTTATATGCTCAGTATTCTGTTCAGAGTACCATCTGTACCTGCTAAAGATGCATTTGATGGATTGCTGCAGTAGACTTCTGGGTATCGGTTGGCTCACTTGCAGGGCCTCTACAGAGCCCCATTGTATCCACCACAACCCGTATGCTTCCCTCAGGGACTACAGACAGACGTGAAGCCGCTCTGTATGCAGACATGCACAGGCAACACAGAGTCTGCCCAGGACAGATCACCGCAGGGACTGTTTACTCTTTCACATTTCTTTTCTTTTGACCCTGCACACATTCACCGTCATTGTGTCCTTGGTCCTTTAGCCCCCTGAGATGTCTACATCACATATCCCAGAAGGCTGAAGGAGCAGAGAAGCAGAATGGCCAGGGAGCTAAGAAGATTAAATCAATAGAGAGTGTGAAGGTCCCCTATAAGTTTAATGGTCTAAGGTTGTGTTACAATACAAGTTTCATTTCTTAGAGCTAGGTTAATATTAAAGCAGAACTTCAGGAATTTTTGTTTATTAACCCTTGCAGTGGGTCTGCCTCCACACTGCAAGGGTTAACTACTCGTTTGTGTTTAGGGTAAAAAATAAACAAAGAACTAGTCACCCAAAGCTCTGACCCGGCTTCTTCTTAGACTGGACCCTGGAATGTCTCTCCCCTCCTGTGCAGTGGTCTAAGGTCTAGTAAATCATCATGTCTATACACAGTGCATAGATGTGAGAGCAATGAGGAACATTCCAATCTGCTGCAGTGGAGGGGACAGACTGGAAGGAGTGCTGTAACAGATAGCTGGCTCGGAGCTTCTGGTGAGTAGATCTTTAATTTAGCACCTAGACACAAACAAGCACTTAACCCGTGCAGTGCAGGGGGTAGCTCCCACTGCAAGGGTTGATAAAAACATTTCCTGGAGTCTGCTTTAAAGGGTTTTGGCAAGGGTAGAGTTCAGTAAAAGAACATGGGTCAGGGCATTTAGTGATGAAAAGTTGATCTTAGCAGATGACCTCATACTTATCAAAAATGACTTTCAGTGTGAGAGAAGGGGTCTGACTTTCTGTGGTAGTGAATTCTGGGTAGTCTGCCGTTATTAGGACCTGGGGAAGGAAAACTATATGTATAAGATATTTATTTATTTTTGGGATATGTTTTTTAAAAATGTATTCGCTTGTGTGTGTTTGTATTGTCCATGTAGATAAGGCCGTAAATGAATAATATACCTGTGTTTGTATTTTGCAGGTGATAACCATAGCCATATCTCACATTTGAAGCTGCCTTTATGATGTCTAAGAACAAGAACATTAGCAGGTAAATTATAATGTGCAAAATACTGTAACACAACAGGTTACTTTAAAAAAAACACAACTGCACATCTAAAGCAAGCTGTACATTTCAATAACACATTCCCTAATTGTCTTTGCATCCTCTAATTGCCCCCGAACCCAGATATATTTTTTAAAGCTTTATGAATATATGTTGAGCAAAGATAAAAGTTTGGAAAATGAGTTCCAACCCTAGACCTTGCTATTATGATAGTCACGTTGGCTATGTATCAAGCTGAACAGGGGTAGCAGATGTGTCCACCTAAGAGACTATGCATTCTCTTACTTACATTATAGGAAATGGATTGGCTCATGTGCTAGTTGGAGAACACAATTGGGTTGATTCACGAAAGGCAAATAGGCTGGCTTCTGACTTTCATCACCCAATCATGTGCAAGCAAATTTTCCTTGCTCATAGTTGGATATGTTTTGCAAAGTGCAATTTCACCACATTCACTAATCTAAGTTAAAATTCCCCTGCACAGTGTATATTCCCTTGCAAGGTGAACAGCATAATTGGCATTAGTAAATCAACCCCATTGACGGTCCCGCTTTGGCATTTCAGTATACAGCATTTCAGCTTCCAGGGCAGTTTCTATCACTAATTTCAGGTTGTGACTTGAGGATGTGGACAAAATGGTGGATGGGTCTCATGCTGGATATTTTTCTCTGTGAGCTAGTATGGGGTAGACCTACCTCTAAAGCTGCCCATACACCTTGTGATCATCGGACAACACTTTTCGTCCAATGATCGAAGCTTCGTACGATTTTCGTACGATTGTAAATTGTACGAATTTTGACGTACGAAACGCCACCAACCTTGTGAAAATTGTACGATCGACCGAAGTTTTCTAACCTGCTGGTTAGTCAAAAGTTGATCGATTGTACAGTATTTGCGGTTGTACACCGCGCATCAACCTTACGAATATCAGACGAAAATGCGATCGCATACGAAAATCGGCCGATATTTGTAAGGTGTATGGTACCGTAAGTCAATACAGAGTGCTCATCTTATAGAAGTGAAGTTTTCCAAGATGACTGAAAATGACATTCCTGCTGGATCCTTCTCAAACAATTGCTTAGTCATTTGAAACAGACTTTATTTAAAAGGGAATTGCAAAGTTCAGAGATGGTTTCTGGTTGGTTCCAAGAGACAAATGCACTTTGCACCCCATCTTTACCCTCATGTACCTTCAGTATTGAATAAGGCCCCATTCACATGGAGCTTAAAGGCTAAGTTCACCTGCCTGACCATATTTGATGTTACACCCATATTTAGGGCCAGATTGCAACCTTCCACCCCCCTTCAGGCTCTTTTTTTTTTTGTTTAATTGCGCAGCGCATGGCTTTGCCCACACAGCTGTGTTATCAATAGTTCCGGGAAAGAGGAACTACAAGTTCCGCCTGCCATCGCGGCAGAGGGGTTTGTAATTTCAATGGAACACAAGTGCGGTGACATCACTGCACTTGTAGTCCATTAACTCTGCCTCCCGTTCAGGTCACTGCATGTCTGTAGCTCAGTATGAGCATGGCAGGAGGAGCCAGAGCTTTGCACCCGCGATCTACTGATCATGTTGCAATGCTTTACTGGCTTCTATGCCAAAAAATAATAAATGCACATTTTCTTTTTTTTTTTTATGTAGAAGTGTGCATTTATAATTTTTTTTTTTTAAAGTGAACTGTGCATTTAAGGCTGCTGCTGGGGACTCCTGCCACAAGAACCTACGGGTTCTTGCGGTAGGAATCCCAGGTATGTCTGTACAGAAGCGGCCACTGTGCCTGTTGAAGTGAATGGCAGGCTGAGATTGGCCACATCTATGGCTGTCCGCATGTAATCATATATGGAACAATTACCTGCGGTTCGGCATAGATGATTGTCCCTGGTCGCAATCTGCCAGGAATCACCAGATACACATTATAGGCTGTGTGAATGTAGAAGAAGTCAGAGAGTGCTATTGTTTTGACACAGTTAACCAGGTTTATTTCATAGGTGAATTTTGAAACTGTGACACCCGTGGGATATACCTCATGATACTACATCAGGTCCCAAAAAAATCTAACATGACAGTTTTCATTTCCTGGACAACCCCCTTTAAAAAAAAATTAGGAGTAATTCTCACAGTACATATACAGTAATACCTTGGTTTACAAGTAACTTGGTTTGAGAGCGTTTTGCAAGACAAGCAAACTTTTCTGAAAAAGTTTGCCTTGATATACAAGCAATGTCTTGCAATAAGAGCAAAATTTTGTAGAAAAGCGCCACCCGAATAAGGCTGTAGCTGTGTGAGCGATGAGTCTGTTTAACGACAACAAAATGTCACATTGGATAGATTCCTTGTTAAGGTTTCACGAAATGAAAAAGATTCCATTGAGTCAAGAGATAGCAGTGATTCCGTTAGTGATAGTGAAAGTCGTCCTATACAATAATCCTCCTCTCTCTCGTCCCCCTCACACCAACCACAAAGGTATGGGTAATTGGTTTATTTGTGTTTATATTTTGTACAGTATTATATTACAGTACAGTATTGTAATCATTTGTATATGAATATTTTTGGGTTGTGGAACGAATCCTCTGAATTTCCATTATTTCCTATGGGGAAGTTCGCTTTGATATACAAGCGCTTTGGATTACAAGCATGCTTACGGAACGAATTATGCTCGTAAACCAAGGTATTACTGTATACTAAATTTAAAGATAGTGATAATGATTTAATTGCCAAAAAAATTGTAGCCAACCATTTCCACTGAAATTAGCATTTTCCGATTTTTCTGAACATTCTAATTTTGTGCTGCAAGTGTGACTAAAATATGAAATATGTTACATACGGTAGAATATTCATGATCTTCTGGATGATTGGAGAGTAGGCAAAGCGTTCATCATGAATCATGTTTTTCTAGCTCGTTAAATAAAAGCAATTAATCTAATTAGAGCTTGAGGAACAGTGTCACTGTAAGATATTTCAAAGTCTTATAGAAATAGACTAATTAATGAATTGCCTACTGAATCATTCTTGGTGAGAACAAGGCCTGGAGACTTACTGAAACATACAGTAAATACAACTTCCTTTCAGTGTAAAAGGTGCCCATTATGCAGTGTAGTAACATGAATCCTCCTAACTGATCATTACACTTTAATTATTTGCAGATTTGGCGTCTTGGCTTCTCTGTGTTGGTCATTGCACTGGCTGTATACAATTACTACAAGGAGCTAGGCGCGTGTGGTCCATCTTTCAGTCCAGGCATTAATAAACAGAAGCAGTGTTTCAAGCAGGGAGCGTGAAAAGGCAGGAGCGTGGCACCACACCCCTGGTGAATGAATTACGACAAATAAGAGCAATTTGGGGCTTTTTAGGTGCCAAAGACTTACTGTAGACTCATATCTAAATAAAATACATCTTTATTGGTATAAGTACATATTAAAAGATATTTTTTCCTTAAAGTCGAACAATGCATATATCCATCTTATTACAATTTTGTTGTGGTTCAGCATAATACAATTAAAGGAGAACTATGAGGTGGGTGCTTTTCACTCACCTCATAGTTCTAGCCAACCTGTGACAATGAAACTGTCTCAGGTCGGCTCAGTAGATCGGGAAGTGAGCGAACACATACCGGCGTTCGCTCACTTCTCGATCCTGTCACGGCACAGAGCCATGACAGGGGAGGGACTGGATTCCCCCCTCCCCGCTCCGATCCTCCAGTGCTGGGGGAGGGGGCGGGAACAGCTGGCTCTGCCTCTAGATAGGCAGAGCCAGCTGTCACTCACGCAGCTGGGTGGATCCAGACATAATTGTCGGGATCCGCTTCAGCTGCGGCGTCTCAGTATACCGCGAGCTGCAGCTCCCTATATACTGAGCTTAGGGTGGCGGGAGGACGCTAGTTTGTGTCCTCCCGTTACCCTTAGGAGAACTATGGGGAAAAGCCCTGACCCCATAGTTCTCCTTTAATACATATTCAAAAAAGTGGTATACTTACATATACAGTCTCAACGTGTTTTGTGGTATTCCTTTTTAGAGAGTCCTATAAATCCACAAATTGGACAATTACATAGTATAACACTAGCTAGAGCTGAAGAGCATAGGAAATTCCTATGCTTCTTGTCTCTATCTAGTAGTGGGAATGCCATATGTCCAGCATTTGTACAGCATATACAGTAGCTGGGCATATTTATAAATTCTACTAGCTTGGAGCGGTGACTACTTTACAACACATGTATTTTTTAAGATTTAACTCCTGAGTTTAGTGTCACTTTAAGAAAGGAACTCCCGCCTTTTGGGAGATTTCTTTCAAATTCCTGTTGTGTTTCTGGGACAGGAAGTGAAGGGGAATGTCCCTGATTGTGCAAAAAGTAAACTGGCAGTGGTTACCACACTGTACGGAAAAACAAATTCAGAGTTAGGACTTACCGGTAACTCTATTTCCATTAGTCTTCCAGGACAGCATCACGAGATGGAATCTCCTCCCCCACACACAGGAAACACGTCACTTAATCTGTTTAAAAGCCCCTCCTCTCCTCCACTCCCTCAGTCATCACGAGAACCGAAGGCAAGCTGGAAAAAGACAAGGCACATACAGGCAATACCACCACATCACATCAATACTACAAGCATCAATGGGCGGGCAGCTGCTGTCCTGGAAGACTAATGGAAATAGAGTTACCGGTAAGTCCTAACTCTGAATTTCCCATAACGTCTTCCAGGACAGCATCACGAGAGGATAACCAAGAACTTACCAATTAGGGCGGGACCACCGCTTGTAGCACCTTCCTGCCGAATGCCTGATCTCCTGCTGTATTGAGATCTAGGCGATAATGCTTTGCGAAGGTGGAGAAACTTGACCATGTTGCCGCCTTACAAATCTGTTCCGGTGTAGCACCAGCTCGTTCGGCCCAGGACGTTGCTAAAGCTCTAGTTGAATGTGCCGTCACCAAAGACGGGGGAGGAACATCTAACACTCCATAAGCTTCCACAATGGCCTGCCTCAACC